TTTCTTTGTTTTTCCTCTGATGGGCAAGGCTGAGTGAGGTGGTAATCCTGTCTGCTAATGATTGGGTTTGTATTTTTGTTTTGTTTGTTATTTAGATGAGGCGTCCTTCACAGGGTGCTACTGGTGGTTGGGTGATGCCGGGTCTTGAATTCAAGTGGTTTCCTTTGTGTGAGTTCTCAGTATTTGATACTCCCTAGGGTTAGTTCTCTGGTAGTCTAGGGTCTTGGAGTCAGTGCTCCCAAAGGCTCAGGGCTTGATCTCTGGTCAGGAGTGAAGATTCCACAAGTGGTTTGTTATGGCATTAAGTGAGATTAAAACAAATATCCAAAAACAAGAAACCAAAGATGAACCCCAGACAAATGGCAGTTACAAAATCAGGCAAATAATAATTAAAATAATGGAATATACACATATACATATACACCCATGAGCAAAGTCAAAAAAGTCCAACAAAAATAAAGTACAGTAGACTGACCCAGGGAATAATGGAAATCAAAAGTTATATTTACCAGTTAAGAAAAAAAACTAACTAAAGCACAAACTGGAAAACAAAACTAATTCAAGGTGCCAAGTGGGGAATAAAGCCGTGAAAACAAAGCTAACCTATATGTTGAGGGGAAAGGAAAGAAAGAAAGAATAAATATGCAAAGTTAAATAGAGGTAGATGAAGAAGATTCATATACATTAAAGATTAACTGCAAGGGGAAAAGAACAGTAGGGAAGGCAAACAAAGGAATAAATGTAGAAAAATAATAATAGGTTTTAAAAATTAAAATTAAAAGAAGAGAAAAGGGAAAACTCCACAGAGTTGCAAAAGCCCAACGTACAGGCAGAGGTTTATAACAACAATAAAAAATATGACTGAGGAAAAAAAGAAAAAAACTCAAAAGCTTAATTAGATTTCATAGTGCCAATAAAATCTGCAACTACAACAGAGGGTGGAAAAAAGGGGGGAAAAAGAAAGAAAAATTCCACAAGAATCTACAGAACAAGTCAAAACCTAAGAATAATAAATATTTTTCTTGAGTCACTGCTGTCAGAGTCCTTTCCCTCTCTGGGAGTCAAAGTCCACCTCTCCTCCCTAGGATGCAGTCCAACACTGTGCTGATCTCTGGACCTGCTGTGGGGGCAGCTCATATTCTAATCTGGTCCAACTCCTATGTGTTCTTGCCTCCAATGTCCTCAGCTATCAGAACTAGTGCGTTTTCTTTTGTGGGAGCTCTCATGACCTTTTATATATTCCATAGACACAGAGTCTGCCTAGTTGATTGTATGGGTTTAATCTGCAGCTTGTACAGCTGGTGGGAAGGTTTTGGCTCTGCCCCTGGGTTTCAATTGTGGTTTTATTTCCACCTCTGCATGTGGGTATTTCCATTGGGATTCCTTTGGGATTTGCTTCTGAGGCTGCCCTGGAGGATTTGGGTTTGCCCCCGTGAGGGCCAGGTGTGGAGGTGGTGCAGCTGCTTGGGTTGCAGGGGTTCTGGCAGTACCAGGTACTCAGGGGAGTTTGTGGCTAGGGCAGCAGGGAATATAGTGCTTTAGAAGGGTATGGCAACCAGTATTGGCCAATACACTCCAGCATTCTTGCCTGGAGAACCCCACTCCCTGACAGAGAAGCCTGGCAGGCCACAATCTATAGGGTTGCAAAGAGTCAGACACTACCGAAGTGACCCTGCATGCGTAGATGCAAGAATTTTTTGCCTGTGGCAGCTCTGCCCCAGGGAGAGTTGAGCATGAAGGTGGCACAGCTGCTTGGCCTGCAGAGACCCTAGTGGCACCAAGTGTGCAGGGGACATGGACTGCCTCTGCCGCAGGAGTTGTGGCCCTATCAGAGTCTTTTTTCAAGCTCCTTGTAACTGGTAATCAGAAGGCCTCTTTGGCCAGTCTTTCTCCATAAGTCTGCCTGTTCAGGCACTTAGAGGGCTCCCTTGCCTGGGGTCCTTCTCTGTTGTTCGGTGTATCAAGTACATAGAGGGGTCCCCTCGCTGGGGTCTTATTCTGTAGATCTGTGTATCATGCACTTAAAGGAGCACCCTGTGTGGGGTCCTGTTCTGTAGTTCAGTGCAGTCAGGGGTTTGATAGGCCAGACTCTCTACTGTTCAGCTGCCAGTGCTGGCGTGTGGGGAGAAAGAGTCTATGGTGATGGCTCCACCCCCTATGTGTGACTCGGCACTATCGCCTTGCTTCCATGGCTGCCTGACTTTCCTCCACAGGCATTTCCCACCACAGTCTCCTTCCTCAGGTCCTCTCAGTTGGTCTCGCCCCAGTCAACAGAAGCCCTCACCCTGGGATTGCTCCACAATTCCTAAACTTTAGCGCCCAGCCTCTGCACCTTCCAGGAGACCTGCGTCCCTGTCTGGTGTATGTATGGCTGCAGCAAGGACTGTCTGATTCCATTTCTCATTCCATTTAGGCTGCCACAGATCAGCTGTTTCACTCTCATCCTTAAATGTTTCTCCTCTGACTCAGATGATTGCCCCAATGTGGGGATCGGACCCCTGCTTCAGTTCCCCCACCCGCCGAGGGCAGGTCCAGTCCTACTAACACTCCTGTTTCTCCCCCTAGTTCCTTCATCCTACCAAGTTTTACATGGTTCTATATATTCTTTTCCTCTGATCAGGTACTTCTGTCTGCTTTCCACTGGTGTTCTGCATGCACTTCTGTGTCTGCAGATGTATTCCTGATGTAGCTGTAGAGAGAGTTGTACTCCATGTCCACCTACTTCTCTGCCATCTTATTCTCCCTCTTCCTTTATTTGTTATGTGTAGAAAGCTCTTTCCTACTACAGATTTATATAGTTGCTCCTTAATACATTTTTCCAGGACTTACTTGATTTTGTTTTTCACATACAGGTCCTTAATCCATAGAGCGTTTATCCATATGGGCTGTGAGTTAGGGTTTAACTTTGTTTTTCAAATGTTTAGCCAGTTGTCTTAGTGCCATTTATTGGATAAACCATTACTTTAAGGTTATATGTTTTTAGATCTTTATTAGGTATCTGCATTTTTTTAATTTAGTGTGTTAAGATTTTACTTTTAAGTGTACAGTTATAAGAGTTTTAGCGAATGTATGCAATTTTGTAGCTACCACTCCAATCAAGATATAGAAAACTTCATTATCCCTCCAAGTTCCCTCATACTCTTTTACAGTACACCCCCTTCCCTGATCCTGTACCCTTGCAACCACTGATCTGTTTTCTATCCGTAAGATTTTGCCTTTTCCTGAATATTATATAAATGGAATGGTGAAAGTGTTAGTCACTCAGTTGTGTCTGACTCTTTGTGGCCGAATGGACTGTAGCCTGCCAGGCTCCGCTGTCCATGGGGTTTTCCAGGCAAGAAAACTGGAGTGGGTTGCCATTTCCTTCTCCAGGGTATCTTCCCAACCCAGGGATCAAACCTAGGTCTCCTGCATTGGCAGGCAGATTCTTTACCATTTGAGCCACCAGGGAAGCCCCAAATAATCATGCAACCCACAGATTTTTGAGTCTGGCTTCTTTCACTTAGCATGATGTTGCTGTGTTGCTGTGTGCCATTGCTTTTATTTTTATTTAACCATTTACTTGTTCAAGGACATCATGACTATTCCTGATTTTTGGCTTTTATGAATAAAGCTGCTATAAACATTCATATAGAGGTCTTTGTGTGGACATATTTTCATTTCTCTTTGGTCAGTACCTGGGAGTGAGATTTCTGGGTCATTCAGTAAGTGTATATTTTGTTTTATAAGAAACTGTCAGACTGTTTTCCATAGTGATTGTGCTATTTTACATTGCCACCAGCAATATATAAGAAGTCCAGATACTCTGCATCCTTATCAGTACTTGGAATTGTCAGTATTTTTTATTGTAGCCTTTCTACTAGGAATATCACAGTTAAATATTTAGAATAATTTGGATATTTTAAGCAGTGTTTCCCAACTCATCCCTCTATATGTGCTCTAAGACTGGATGCTCCTGACTTGCTGGGTCCATCTCCAGTTGCACAACATGAGGCAGCTGAATCATCATTGTCATTTGTTTTTAGTTTTTCTTCTTTCCATTTACTTCTCTATCTTACAGAACTAGAAAACAGAAGAGCAGAAAGGAGCTTAGAAATAATCTAGTGCAGGGATTGACAAACTTTTTCTATAAAGAACAAGATAGAAAACATTTTTGGTTTCACAAGTCATTGGGTCTATTACAGCAACTCAGCTCTGCTGTTGTAGCATGAAAACAGCCATAGATGATACAGAAACAAATGGACATGGCTGTGTTCTAATAAAACTTCATTTACAAAAACAAGCAGCCTGCTAGATTTGGCCCTTAGAACATAGTTTGCTGTCTCCTGGTTTAGTCTAACAACTGTGTTTTACAGATGAGGGGACTGAGCTCACATTTCACCCTTTCCTCTGACTTGGAAAGCAAGAAGGAAGGCAAGGACTAGGATATTGGCTTTCACCATAAGAGACACACTTAACTTGAATTCAAGATGTGCTTACTTTGTATATACAATTCCCTGTTCTTGCAAATGATGTTCCATGAAATTGTTAATGCAAGGTCTTTCAAAACTCTTAAGTGCACTGTCTTCTAGGATATTTTGTATATTGCCCTAAACCTTGATGCCCTTCTGAGCCTCCAACAGCTCTGGAGCAATGGTCAAATTTGAGCAGTAAAAAAATAAAGATAGAAACAGTTGAAGTAAGAAAAACATGTCACTCTTTCATTCTTCTACAAAATACTTTGTTTCTAGTTTTGGAGATGTCACATAAGCTTACCTTCTGAGATAGCTATTAAACATCATGTAACAATCCCATGCTTTTTTCTTGATCAGTTCATTCAGTTGGCCAAACAGATGAAGATTCTTGGGTCAAAACAACAAGAACAAGAAAACCTGAAACAAACAGGAAAACATACACTCAGGGTTCCATGCACACAAATCTAAAAATAGGCACTTACTGTGGGTACTCAGGAAAAGAACACTGTTTAGAAAATTCATCATGTGTTTTTTCTTCCCTTCCAGCACTGGAAGAAGTATGACATCTATGAGAAACAAACCAAAGAAGAAACTGACTCTGTAGTGCTGATAGAAAGCCTGAAGAGAGCCTCTCAGTGATGGGGATAATTTATTTTAACCTTCAATGTGACCTTGTGAAGATTCATTCCGTTCTCCATTTATTATCTGGGAACTTGTCAAAGGGAAACTGAAACTACTGGACCATTTTAAAACAGGCAGCTCATAAGAGCCACAGGTCTTTCTGTTGAGTCGTGCACCGAAAAACTAAAAATAATAGGCCCTTTGGAGAAAAGAACGGAGTCATTTTTGTTGAATTATAAAAGCAGACATCTTTTGCGAAGGCTTCACACTAGGGGGCAAAAGCTAAAAAGTGATGATGTCAGTTGAGTTAATCTTATCAAGAGTTGTGACAACTTCCTGAGGGATCTATGCCTGCTTTGAATTCTTTTTCTCAGATAATACCAACACATATTGTTTGTAGGAGAACTCATTTTGGGTGTAAATGCTGAAGTCAAACTTGAGTCATAGAGAACATCTAACAAAACAGAATTGATAGAATCTGTTATCTATTGTTTGGGATCCCATTGAGTTGGGGCTATGGCTATTAAAACTCTTTAATAGTCTGGAATCTTCGTCCCCTCCAGCAGCATTTTCCTCTGCTTTGAAAGGCCCAGGCATCCATGTCGGCCAGCTGTGACTATAGAAAAAGCAGAGGCAGCTTCTTTACTGAGAACTTTTGAAGCCACTGCAGGCTTTTAATGGCAGTGGAGGCAGAACAGCTTATTGGATATTAGAGTTTGGAGGACACAATCTCTAATGATGAATTTCTTCTTCACCATTGCTATTCAGATCAAGTATTCAGCACATGTCCAGACTGTATTGGGCCTCCAGCTGTGAAGCGCTGACTCCCTCAAAGAATTCACAGTCTAGTTGGGGCTCAATCAGTTTTTTCTCCCCAACAACATTTTTCAGATGTTTCAGCTCCCCACTCCCCACCCTGATTTCCCCTTTTGCATTCTCCCTCATCTCCCTCTGTGTATTCTTTCACTTCTCCTTAGCAATTAGAATATAAATCTGTTCACAGCACCTAGAGGAGCAGGGAGTAATTTGCATCTCAGGAAAAGTGTGAGTAGATTGACAAACAATGACTAATTCTCGCATATTTTGTAACTTCTGTGTGAGTCTGCATTTATTTGAAGGTTTTCAGCATTTACTGTTTATGCATTTTCTACACAGAAAAGTATTCTCTTCACTTAGAACTTTGATATTTGCTTGAGAAAAAAAGAATAGTTGTATCTTTCTCTTTTCCCTTACTCCCCCAAATGGTTATTAGCAGGCTTCGTTTCTAATACTGATAGCCAGCCATCCCAGGCTCCAACGTTAGTCCTTTGTGGGTTTTTGTGTGTTTTTTTTTTTTGCCTATGTTAGGGCTCCATCCTCACCCATCCCCACAAATATTCATATGTGTATATATATATTCCCTCTATTTCTACTTCCTCTATATTCAGAGTATGGAAATGAGAAGTCCCCCTCCTCACATAGACTCAGATTACTGGTAGGAACTTGAGAACTCTATGTCACAAGTTCTCCAAATATTCATTCATTCATATTAATAAGATAGTGCTAGTTCCAATTCCTGCTCTTAAGGGGAAGGGAGATAAGACATCCCTACTCTTTACAGGTTTGGGCGAAAGTGGCAATGTCCTTGCACCACAGTGGGGGAGGAAATTGGGGCTCATGGCAATGGCCGATGTCAAGATGTTTCCTCCCTGCACTTCTATATTTGAGGTCAGGTTGAGGCCGGAAGACAGGCGTGGATGTTCCATTCTGCCCTACTGTTCTCTAGAAAGAATATTTGGTGTTCCTGTGTAGGGAGGGGATTATTATTTCCTAGCCAGATCTTATACTTTCAGAAAATACAACACCTAAATGCCTCACCCAAAGCCATTTTTCCTGTCATCCTACTTAGATGGCAGTGGTGGGGGTTGCTCTAATATTATGATGATCTAAGGAACTACTGATGCCAGACAGTCCTGCAGCCTGAGAGTGGGAAAATTGTGTTTTGTTTCCATCTTGCTCTTTTAGTAGCAAAATAGTTGGGGGGAAAAATGGGGCGGTGAATTATGGGAGTGCCTATGGCTGTTTTATAATTCCTGAAAAGTGATCCCCAGGTCTTGAGAGCAATTGGATACTTTAATATATCAGCTTAATTCCCACTACCTATAGGAAATTAGTAGGTTTATGTACTATTTGGTGTCTAACCTATATGTCTTTTTTTTCTCCACATAGCTAAGTAAACCCACTGTAAGAATGGTCATTCTTATTCTTTCATTCAGATAAGTCTTTTCCTCATCTGCCACAGAAGGGATACATGAAACTATGTTAACATTTTTGGTAATGCCTTCAACTGGGGATCATTTTGTTTAACTTCTTGCAGAAAACTTTGAGTAAAATAAATATTGTTTTTTTGTATGTCACCCAAATGTTTTCCTTTTGTCTTATTTCAAAGAAAGTGTTATGGGGAGTAGGTGGCAGAAAAAATTGGAGTTAAAAGAATGTAAGTTGGGAAAAAATTCCAAGACTGCTAATTTATCTTACAACAATTTATCATGAGCTTCTCTGCTGTTCTTGGCATGCCTGGGTTTTCTGATAAAGGTGTGCATGTGGTTTAATATTAGCACAGCCTTTGCAAACAGTACCTAAAGGGACATAAGTATTTGATAAATCATGGTTCTAACAAGGGAAATGGGGAACTGGTCCTTTCTGATTTTAAGCTTCCAATAGAGTGCAGTGTGGGCTTCCCTGGTAGTTCAACTGGTAAAGAATCCGCCTGCAATGCAGGAGACCCTGGTTCGATTCCTGTGTCCGGAAGTTCCCCTGGAGAAGGGATAGGCTACCCACTCCAGTATTGTCAGACCTCCCTGGTGGCTTAGACATTAAAGAATCTGCCTGCAGTGTGGGAGACCTGGGTTCCACTCCTGGGTTGGGAAGATCCCCTGGAGGAGGGCATGGCAACCCACTCCAGTCTTCTTGCCTGGAGAATCCCCATGGACAGAGGAGCCTGGCAGGTTACAGTCCATGGGGTCACAAAGCATCAGACACGACTGAGTGACTAAGCACAGCACAGAGTGCAGTGTACTTCAGGAGACTGTCATGGTATATACATGATGAGGGACCTCTAGTTATGAATGAATCACATAACCAAGTTAGATTTGAGACTAAGAAAATCCATTTTCAAAAGTTTCCCTTTTAAGAGGTAGTAATATATTTCCATGTTTTCTGTAACTACAGCAAAATGGTTTGAATGTCATGGAGAGTTTCTCATTTGTATTATGTTCTAGCAGTGGGTCTTTAACCTGACATTTGTCACTTACCCTGCAACTTTCCAGGATCTAAGCCCTAGGGTATGGATAGGAAGTGCTGGTCTTGGTCAGGTTACTTCTGTAATTATTTAAAATGATGCAGGAAGATTCTGGAAATCCATCTCCAGGTAAGTATAGTTTTGATTAAGAAACTGCCTTTTGATTCTCAACACATCAACACTATTAGGACAGAAAACATTTAACTGGGGACACTTGAGGTTATATATCTGTATGAGATCTATGGAAAACAAATTCCTGTAGCTAAAAAATGTGTTCACCTCATCTCAGGGCAGAGGAGCCAGAACGATCTAAGCCCATTTGCTTTCCAGGATAATTTACCATTTTGTCATTTCCATGCAGTCCTGCTCTTTTACAAGCACAACTTTGTGCTCACATGAGTAGTTTCGTGCTACTAGAATATTAATAGTTTTAGAAGAAAGTAATACTTTGGCCACCTGATGCAAAGAGCCAACTCATTGGAAAAGACCCTGATGCTGGGAAAGATTGAAGGCAAAAGGAGAAAGGGGTGGCAGAGGGTGAGGTGGTTAGATAGCAACACCAACTCAATGAACACAAATTTGAGCAAACTCCAGGAGACAGTGAAGGACAGGAGACCCTGATGTGCTGCAGTCCATGGGGTCACAAAGAGTTGATATGACTTAGCGACTGAACAACAACAACAGACCATTTATTTCAGAGACTATTTTCTTGTAAACCCTAATGATTAGATCAAGCAATAACATTTTTTGTAAATACTGTAGCAAAGTCTTGGCATGCTTCTACTTCAAGTGAGGGAGGAGTTTTGCTGACATTTGGATGTACTTTTATATCAATCCCCAACATGATTTCTTCCTGAAAGTTCTTTGGCTTTTAGCTGTCTTTTCTAATGGTCACACTTAGTTTGCCATTAGCAACAGGAAAATATTTCACTGTTAGTTTTCAACATTTACTATGTAGACCATTATATAAAAAGAGAAAATTAATAGTTACCCAGTAGCTACTGTCTACCAAGTTACATGTGTTATTCCACTAAATCCCCATATGAGTCCTATGAGATAAATTGTGCTATTATCTTCATGTTACAGATGAAGAAAGCAAGGCATAATGTAATTCAGTTGGGAGTGCAAGATCACATAGCTCGTGACTGGGACAGAATTGGAAAACAAGTCAGCCTGACTTTAGAGCCTGTATAATATAGCCAGTGATGTACTTATTTGTCCTAGGAGGCTAAAGAAGAAACATCTTATTTCAAATTATTACCAGATTTCTTATCAACTGGAAGACTGAAAATGTAAATCATTTCATTGCAAAGCAAGCTTTTATACACTGTCTTAAGATTCATTTGTGATTCCTCTATGAGCCAGGCAGTGTGCTAGGCACTAGAAATTTAGAAGTGGGTAAGGTGTGTCCTGGAGAAGGCAATGGCACCCCACTCCAGTACTCTTGCCTGGAAAATCCCATGGACAGAGGAGCCTGGTGGGCTGCAGTCCATGGGGTCGCTGAGAATCAGACATGACTGAGCGACTTCACTTTCACTTTTCACTTTCATGCATTGGAGAAGGAAATGGCAACCCACTCCAGTGTTCTTGCCTGGAGAATCCCAGGGACGGGGGAGCCTGGTGGGCTGCCGTCTATGGGGTCGCACAGAGACGGACACGACTGAAGCGACTTAGCAGCAGCAGCAGCAGCAAGGTGTGTCCTGGTATCGAGTGGTTAGTGGGCTTTTCTGGTGGCTCAGATGGTAAAGAATCTGCCCACAACTTGGGAGACCCAGGTTCAGTCCCTGGTTGGGAAGATCCCCTGGAGAAGGGAATGGCTACCTACTTCAGTATTCTTGCCTGGAGAATTCCACGGACAGAGGATGGAATACAGTCCACAGGGTGGCAAAGAGCCAGACCTGCCTGAGCAACTAACACTTTCAGGTGGTTAGTCAGGGAGAGGCTACTTTGTACAGGGAAAGAGACCTGGATTAGAATTTAGGAGTTTCAAATGACTTTGACAGGTATCTCTTCCTATCTACGTCTACTTCCCCATCTAGAAAGTGAAGATGTTAGACAGTGATTTATCATCCCATCCAGGCTCATAACAATGGCCATAAGCTGCAGAGCTCATTCAGAAGTGAAGATCTTTGCTGTGTGCACTAGCAATGCCATGGGCAGCTTCCTTTCTCTCTCTCAGCCTCAGTGTTCTCATCTGTAAAATGAGGAAGTTGGACTAGATTGGCTCTGTTCTGATATCCTGCAAAAATTAAGATGATGACTTTTGTTTTACATATCAAGAGAATATGTTTATAGTCACCTCCTATTCTCACTACAGGAGATAGTTAGCTATCAGCAGTATCCGCCAAAAATAACCAAAGTCAGCCCTTTATACAACAGTAAGAACAAAGGAATTGATACATTGGAAGAATACTGTGATTCATCCAAACCAGAATTTTCCCAAGGGCCCAGCCATGGTTGTACCTAACAAATATTTCTTAACATGCTTTGCAGGTCTTAAGTCATTTTGCCTAGAAATGCCAAAATGGACTTTGTATAATACAGATTGCTTGTACATCTGCTACTACATCTGATGCATTCTCTAAAATAGTCCCTTTGAATTCAATACTTGGAAATTGGGTCATTGCAATTAACTTTTGGGATTTCATTTGATCAACGTAAAACATGTACCTAATTTTAAAAGTCTTTGTGGACAAAGGTCCATATAGCCAAAACTATGGTTTTTCCCTTAGTCATGTATGGATGTGAGAGTTGGACCATAAAGAAGGCTGAGCACCAAAGAACTGATGCTTTCAAACTGTGGTGCTGGAGAAGACTCTTGAGAGTCCCTTGAACAGCAAGGAAATCAAACCAGTCAATCCTAAAGGAAATCAGTCCTGAATATTGGAAGGACTGATGCTGAAGCTGAAGCTGCAATACGTTGGCCACCTAATACAAAGAACTGACTCATTGGAAAAGACCCTGATGCTGGGAAAGATTGAAGGTGGGAGGAGAAGGGGACAACAGAGGATGAGATGGTTGAATGGCATCACTGACATGAGTTTGAGCAAGCTCCAGGAGATAATGAAAAACAGGGAATCCTGGTGTGCTGCAGCCCATGGGGTTGCAAAGAGTCAGAAATGACTGAGTAACTGAACAACAACAATTTTAAAACTCAAAGAGTACCACGGGGCTTGTAAAAAAGATAGTTCCAGCATCAAAACATGTATATTATTTAGGGTGAAACAGATCACCAGCCCAGGTTGGATGCATGAGACAAGTGCTGGGGCCTGGTGCACTGGGAAGACCCAGAAGGATCGGGTAGAGAGGGAGGTGGGAGGGGGGATCGGGATGGGGAATACATGTAAATCCATGGCTGATTCATGTCAATGTATGACAAAAACCACTACAATATTGTAAAGTAATTAGCCTCCAACTAATAAAGATAAAAAAAAAAAAGACAGTTCCCCTTCCCTGCCACTCTTATGCTGATTCCACCTCCTAGGAGAGAGGCTCACACCCTAATCCTTGGAACCCATGACAATGTTACTTTACATGGCAAAGTTCAGTCGCTCAGTCATGTCCAACTCTGTGACCCCATGGATTGCAGCATGCCAGGCTTCCCTGTCCATCACCAACTCGCAGAGCTTGCTCAAACTCATGTCCTTCAAGTCAGTGATACCACCCAATCATCTTATCCTCTGTCGTCCCCTTCTCCTCCTGCCTTCAGTCTTTCCCAGCATCAGGGTCTTTTCCAATGAATCAGTTCTATGGACTAGGCAAATGTGGTTAACATAACAGAATTTTAAGTGGGGAGATTATCTTGTATTATGAGGGTGGATTGGGTGTGGTCATTTGAGCCCCTAGAAGCAGAGAAATTTCTCTGGTTGAAAACATAAGAGGAGGAGAGATTCAAAACACAGAAAGGACCCAAAATGTTGTTGCTGACTTAAGGATGGAAGAAGCCATGGACAAAGTGTTAGAGGGAACCGCTCCTGCCAGCAATCTGAATGAGCCTGAAAACAGACTCTCCCCCAGTGCCTCTAGAGAGGAGCCCAGGTTGGCCAGCCTGGTGTGATTTCAGCCTTGTGAGACCCTGAGCAGAGAATTCAGTCATGCTGGGCTGCCCTTCTGACCTGCTGTAAGCTAATAAATCTGTGTTGTTTAAAACCACTTTTAACATTTGTAGCTGTTTCTCTTGGCATATAACTCTTTACTTTGGAATAATACCCTAATACTTATGCTATTTCTTATTTTTACTTAGGCTTGGAGATTATCTGTTTCTAAATTTCTACTGTAGAACCTGAGGAACTAGCTTTACATACACACCATGTGCACCCATAATTCCCTTCCGCAAATGTAACAAATTTGGGCTTAAATATTCAATATTTGCATTATACCATATAATTATTGGTCTACAGTTGATCCATGTAAAATGCTGTTAACTGCAGTGCCTTTATTTTGTGATTCCCAAATTGTCTCTTTTGCTTTGATTTGTTTTTTTTCTTCCAGTTTTATTGAGATATAATTGTCATACAGTACTTAATAAGTGGACAGCAAGGAGATCAAACCAGTCAATCCTAAAGGAAATCAGTCCTGAATATTTATTGGAAGGACTGATGCTGAAGCTGAAGCTCCAATACTTTGGCCACCTGATGCAAAGAACTGACTCATTGGAAAAGACCCTGATGCTGGGAAAGATTGAAGGCGGGAGGAGCAGGGGACAACAGAGGATGAGATGGCTGAATGGCATCACTGACTGAATGGCATCACTGACATGAGTTTGAGCAAGCTCCAGGAGATAATGAAACACAGGGAAGCTTGGTGTGCTGCAGTCCATGGGGTCGCAAAGAGCTGGACATGACTGAGCGACTGAACTGACTGACTGACTGACTTCATAAATTTAAGGTGTACAACCTAATGATTTGATTTATATATATCATGAAATAATTTCCACAGTAAGTTTAGCAAACATCCATCATCTCACATAGATACAAAATTAAAGAGATAGGAAAAAAACAATTTTTTCTTGGGGTAATAACTCTTAGGATCTATTCTCTTAACAACTTTCACATATAACATACAGCCATGTTAATTACATCAATATTTATCATGTTGTACATTATATACCCAGTACTTGTTTTATCTTGTAACTGCAAGTTTGTACCTTTTGACTGTATTCATCCAATTCCCCTGCCCCCTGCCTTTGGTAACCACAAATCTGATCTCTTTTTCTATGACTTTATTTGTTTGGTTTCGAAGTGTAATTGACCTATGTTGGTTCCTGTTACACAACATAGTGATTCGATATTTCTATACATTGCAAACTGATCACTACAGTAAGTCTAGTTCCAACATGTCACCAAACAAAGATATTACAGTTAGTGACTATATTCCCCACACTGTACATTTGATTTGATTTGTTTTTCTATAAACCTACTGTGAGTCCAGGCTTAAACTTTTAATTGAAACCATTAAACTGCACTTAGTATGGTCAAGTCTATTAGGTAATATATGAGATTCATGTATTTTTCTTAGAGACAACCCTGGTGGAGTTTGCTGCCCTCCTGCTCCATTCTGGAAGGGTTGCCCCCTTTGTCTGCTACCCAGCTGTCATCCTAGAAATTCCCTTTGCTTCTCTTCTGTGTTAGATTCTGTTTCCTAGATCTCAGGTTGTCCTCTCGATTGCTTTATGATCTAGTTTCGCTGGACCATACCCTGCACTAACTTCTTTAGAAAGATTGCATGGGAGGTAATTTGAATAAAACCCTTCTGTGTCTGATTATGTCTTTTTTTTTTTAGTTGGAGGCTAATTACTTCACAATATTGTAGTGATTTTTGTCATACATTGACATGAATCAGCCATGGATATTCATACATCATTCAAAGTTTCACCAGTTGAAGAATTCTTAATAGAAACAATTTCCTGTAAGAATTTTGAAAACCTATCCCAATTTTCTTGGTTCTAGTGTTGCTTTGAAGAGTCTGATCTTCTATTGATTTCTTATGTTTTTTGAAAGATTTCTTATTTTTTTGGATACACTTTTTTCCTATAAACTTTAACTGTTCTCTTTTGATCTTTAGTGTTTTAACATTAAACAGTAATATACCTTCTTATCCATCATCTTCCATTTACTGGGCTGGGCTTTCGTGAGCCCTTTCAATCAAAAAACTTATCTTTCTTTTTTGAGACATTGTATTATTTCTCACATATAAATGATATTATAATATCATTTTTGTTTTCTCTACTTCTAGAACTCCTACAAATTGGATATTGTATGTCTTAGGCTGATTCTCTCATTTTCACATCTTTCATGCTCTAGCTAATCATCTTTTGGTTCCACTTTTGGGAGGTTTCCTCAACTTCATCTGTCTGAGCTTCAGTTCTCATCTGTAAAAATGGTGATAAAAGGACCTACCTCATCAGGTTATTTTGAGATGTTGAGGAAATAAACCATGTAAAGTGAACTTCAATAAATGATGGCTATAATTGCACGTACTGTTTTTCTAGCATCAATTCCTTTTTCCTTCTTATGTGAAAATGACAATCCTAGTGGCAGCAATATATCTTGCTTTTACAATATCTTATTATACTATTAACCTTCATTGTACTGAATTTGTAATGGCATGACATTTTCTAATTGTACTGTTTTAGAAAAATATGGTATAAATCTAGTTAGCAATATTAGAATCTTAGAATGCTAGAATTCAAAGTTTAACTCTTTTGTTTACATTTCTAGAAATGCTTAAGATTAAAAGTAGGTTTGTTATTTTTTCCCTTTCTTTCTTTTTTTTTCTACCTTTCAAGCTGTTGGGGGAAAAAAACACTCCACAGATTCACTTTCTCCCCTCACCCCTGGGGGAGATCAAAAATTGGAAAAATAATGATAATACTCCTTGACAGTAAAATAGGTACTTTGGAGCCCA